TTATAGTACTTAAGGTCCTCCTTAAAGGCCTTCTATCCAGCTATTAATAGCTTAGACTATTACACTAGTATCTTAATATTGGCTGCTAGGGCGTAGTTTGTAATAACTAGTACTTGGATAGCTACTAGTTGCATAATTAGTGGAGTTACTAAATTAGGGTTAACCTTATCCTATAGGTTATACGTAACGCAGCGTGCCTATAGCTATATATACTATCCTATAAAGTTATTATAGTTGTGGAGCGTTATCTCTACGCGCTAAGGGGTTAATTAGGCCGTTATAGTTGATTGGTATATTGGTTGAGGTAGTGAGACTCTTAATTATTAGATTCATATAGTGATTTAATGGATATTAGTGATCTAGAGGTAAGATGAATTAATTCATTATTATTATATACGTGTGTTCTACCAGCTTTTATTAGGTTCCTATTAACTATCCCTTGCTTTGGGGCTGGGTATCTAGTAAGGGCGGATGGCTAGCTATCCCTACCACCTACCCGGAGTACTGTCCATACCAAGGTAACTTCGTAGGCCCTTATCTAATAATAGTAAGATACTTAGTACACGCCCTTATATCTAACAATTATAAAGCTTTTTAGAGGGCTTATAGCCTAGAAGGTAAGTAAATAAAATATAGTCACTATATTAATAATAGAAGCTAAGCTATTAGCACTATCCTAGGTAGCTAAAGAAGCTATATTTACTATTAGGCTATTACTTAATATTAAGGTTAAGCTTAACTAATTAATAATAACTATCTACTATAATAACTAGTAGATAATTCGCCTAGTTACTAAAGGGATAGTAAAGCTATAGACTAAGCTTCGCTATATAGATATCTATAACTATTAGCTTAGGTAAGAAGTTGCCTAGAGTGTCACGGTAACCTTAGAGGCTACCTGACAAGCATGGATATACTGCTGGTAGTAGTATATCTTAGAGATGTCGCGCGCTGGCAGCCAGTTAATAAATTATTAGATGGGTGGCCCGTCTACTAGCTGATTAGTCAAAGCATAGCGCTAGCCATCCTTGGCGAGGGCGTGCGACGAAGCGAGAAGATAGATCCACGCTGGATAGGGGGGAGAGGACCTTTTGTCCTTATCCAACGTCTTGTACCTACACGTAGATACCGAACGCAGTATATTAATCTAGCCTACCTGGGCCTTAGACATCTTGCTCGTTGCTCTCGTGACATAGAGGACCTTTACTATAGAGTACTAACGATTAGAAGACATAGCTATAGATGGACTTATAAAGTCACTACCAGCCACAAAATGGAACAAATTCCTGGCAGGACTCGGACTAGTAGACACTAAGGATAGGATTGCTAATAAAGAAGTTGACCTACTTAAGCTTAAGTAACGGATGGAGGCCTATAAGTTAGATTGATTACTAAGGACGACTAGCTTAAGCCAACTCCAGAAAGTGCTCTTAAGCTGAGGGGGTACGTTAGATTACCCTGTCATGCTTAGGTCTCTTGTTATATTAAGCTGTCAGAAACTCATGGTCGAAAAGGAACGTTAGTATAGAGAACAATGAACAACTTACACCCATCATTGAGATCCCAATCAACGTCACGACCTAATCATCATTCTATCTAACAATATGCCTCTCCGTCACGGCCAAGACTGACTCTCGAACGTGGCTTAAATGCACGCGATACAATCCTGCTTCCGCTTTCCACTCCTCTCCGTTCATCCCAAAGATAGCATCTCCGAAGATGTGGTGGAATGTCATACGCTGCTCCTCCGAATTCGCAAGTTCGGAGAACTGTGTTTCCTGGATGGCCCGAATATTCTCAGGATCATCGGTCATGACAAGTTTCTCACCAAACACTTGCAGTTCCATAGTGTGATTATACTTCACCAGAAGATGTTGACTCCAAAGATGAAATTTGTGGCTCCTGAAAGCTTTGAGCATGTCAATGAACAGTTTGAGGCCTAAAGTTACTCCCCATGTTTTCAGGGCATGGAAGCAGGTCATACCAATTAAGTCCGATGAAATTACGGTCGGAGGTTTTGCACCTAAGGCGCTGTACCGCCATTGGTACGAAACGTAGAGTACGATTTCGGGATGCCGAATAGCAACAAAACAACAATACCGCCGAGGGTGAGTGTAGTTGTATCTAAATCCATTGTTCTAGCTTCGAGGAATGCAAAGGTCATGTTTAGCTTGTAGACTAAAACGTTCGTATGGCACAGGTATGCCACAAGGTTATCAAGTGCGGACAAATAATCAAGACCGAGGAGAGTTGAAGTTGCGGCTCTGGATGCCACTGCGGCACTGCATGCAAGAATCTTGATCACAGGCAAGAGCGTTAGAGTCTAGCCATTCTCATTCACGGACGAGGCTTTTCTAGGTCCGCCCACTTGCGGGGCGGCACTGCCCTACGTGCTGACCACCATCAGAAAGGCTCTGCACGCTTCCGGTGGAACTCCTATTTGGGAAAAGGGTGGCCGGGTATTTGGCACTTGCGCGTGCAAAAGCGAGGCGCCTTCTGCCATCAGTGGTGGCCCCCATGTACGTATTATTGCTTGTACCAATTAGATTTGGCCATGCGGAAACACCCATGCAGGGGGTACAAGTCCGGACACCGCTGAACATGCGGCACAGCACCTTTATTCAGCCATTCGCGGGCGAAACTACTTACTGCCCTCTCTTCACTAGCTATACAACACAGCCGACTCGATTGCTCACTACGCGCTGTTCCAATCATGTTGGATGCATTGATCTCAACTTCGAGCTTTGAGAAAGGGGTGTTCTGGCTTTGCGCGCTCGTGCCTGCCTGTGTTTGTCTTCCACACATCAGTCCTGCAGCACAAGACCAAACTTGCTAACACACACAACAGCTTTTTGCGAATGCGTTGTACAACCTATACTTGCACCCCAATTTGGTCCTATTCTGTGACCCAGAAGCTCATGCGGCTATCTATGGCATGAAGTCCAATGTTCGACGGAGTACATTCTACGTGGGATTGACCAAAAACATCCGCGAAAAAACAACTTTAAACGCTATAGACCCCGCAGAACATGCCCAGAGACGTAAAATACTCAACAGATGCTTTACTGATCAGTCCACAACAGCTGTTTCCACTTTTGTAAGTCAGCATATCGACCGCTGGCACGAAATTCTCTTGGACAAACACAATAGCACGACGGAGTGGTCCACTTCTACAAATCTTGTAGAACAGTTAGATCACCTTGTGTTTGACATTATGGGTGACCTCTGCTTTGGCAGATCCTTTAATAATAAGGAACCTGGCGATAACCCTCTGAAGGAGGTGCCACAAAACATCATCCAATACCTGAAGTTTTACTATCCGGTAAGAAATATTCATTCCTACTCCTTAGCAACGCCACCCTCAGCGAAAAAAATATTGACTTGGAATGAAGATGTGCCGCTCGCCTTTCTTAAGTTTGATCATCTGGCTGAAACCTCGAGGCTTGGATCGACTTGTTGAGCTCATCACTCCGCCACCTGTACAAAAGTTTAACGACTTTGTCTTCGACAGTGTTACAAAACGACTTGAGCTCTACAAGAAGCAGGAGCACATTCCCGAGCGTGAGCGTCGTCAGGATATGTTCTATTTTTTGTGTAATAGCCAAGATTCAAGTACAGAACACGCAGCATATACCGAAGATGAGCTTCGCGCAGAGGCCAGTCTACTGATCATTGCCGGTTCTCATACTACAACTGCCAGCCTTGCTAGCATCTTTTGGTATCTTGTTAGAGCGCCAAGGTGTTATGAAATACTTGTTGACGAGCTACAAAAGACATTCAAGACAGCTGAAGATGTTGCATACGGCCCAAAGCTTATGGGTTGCACGTATCTTCGGGCATGTATCGACGAAGGAATGCGGCTTGTCCCTCCTGGGCCCTGCGAATCTCCTCGAGAAGTCCTTGCTGGCGGTCTCAATGTTCTAAACGACCATTACCCCGCAGGGACTATAGTTGGCACAGCTCCATGGTGTGACTCCCTTAACCTGGATGTCTATGAAGATCCGGGAGTTTTTAGACCTGAGCGCTGGGTCGTGGATGATGTTGCGGGAGTCACTAAGGCGATGGTAGCCGAGATTCGCACTAACTTCCACCCATACTTGACTGGCCCAGGTAGCTGTGCCGGGAAAAACATAGCACTGGCGGAAATTCACCTCATGGTAGCGAAGACATTGCTTCGTTTAGAGCTGCGAAAAACACCTGGGTCGACCTTGGGGGAAGGCAGCCCTGAGATGGCATGGGGTGAGAGGAGCAGGAAACATTTTCAGATAGTAGATGCTTATATCTCGGTCAAGCAAGGCCCAGAAGTTCAATTCAGGAAAAGACCGGTTCCTGAAGCGATATCAGATCGAGCATGAGCTGGGATAGTCAATGTGGAGGTATACATGAGTCGAGCTAGAGGTTTCGCTTTGGAATGAACCAATTTTTCCAACGCGTTTGTTGCACGCTATCTCTGTTTCCGATTACGTTCCCCCTTTTACGATGACTTCTATTCTTTTCGTAAGATATGGATGTCTTTCGCGGTCACATAATTATGATCACGGATATGCCTGGACTCCGAGCCAAACAAGTCCGCTGAGCGGCGGGTACATGTAGAAATTTCGCGCTTGATACAGCACTAGTCTGTCACCAAGTCTAGGGCAGAGATGGATCTATCCAGGAAAGGTCTACGCTATTGATTTTCTCACCCTCTGCACAACGCTATCCATAATCTTGACGCTCTTCACAGTCGGAAATTCGATACATACCATGGTCGTGATCAGCACACCCAAACTGCGGAGAGTGTGTAACATTTAATATATGCAGGAGGCGCTTCGGACACCGAAGATGCCCGGTCCCCCCCCCCTTAAGCCTGGGTACTTTCATGCAGGGCGATGAATGCCATGTAGGGAAGGATAGCTGAACGTTCGGCAGCCATTTACAACCAGCCAATGGGGCTGAAGAAAAATCACTATACATCCCAGATCTTGGCATTCTTTCGACAACAGGGATCTGTCTTACATGCATTCTACCAGGTATGTCTCGTATGGGAGCTGATACCCGTGCTGCGGTTCGGGGAAACGTTTCATTTGCTCTGTTAGGGTGGTCCTCCAGAGGATCCATCGACGCCACCCGCGACAACAACACGATAGGGATAAAGTCCTACTAGCACGCCCCAACCACCGAAACCAAGCTCCATTCCTTGACCCTGTTATGGAGATCCCCACTGTTGAACAGCTCAAGGCGTTACTGCCTGCGTACCTGGCTCAGGATACCAGTCGGGTGCTCTTCAATGTCAAGACAGCCGTATTAGTTGTAAATACAGTTGTGTACATCTTGTTTCTCATTTCTCGGACGTTTTGCGTCGAGCGCAATAATTTAGAGATCTGGATACTTCCGGTGCTTTCTTACATCTTCTGTGTGGGACTCTAGCCCTCAGCTATTGTGAGTCTTCGTAGCATTCCGACACGTTTGCCGTTGAAGATGGCTGGTATCCTGAAGACTTCTGCTTACCTCAATCTCAGTGCTCGTCTCTGAAGGGGGCGCCGGTCGTCATGTCGTTTACTGGTTTCTTACCGACCCGACTGTCATAACAACGTATCTGAAGATACAAACGGTGGCCGAATTTACGTGGCAGCATGCCTGTTCCCGAAGCTCTCGATCTTGGCCTTGTATCTCAGGGTCTTTACTGAACGTATCGTGCGAATGATCACATGGATTGTTAGTGGGGTGTGCATAGCTCACGTCGTTGCTAATATTCTTGCGTCATTCACCATATGTCAATCTTTCGAGTTCAAATGGAACAAGACAATCGATGGACATTGTGCCGATGTTATGGCGAGTTATCGCTACGTCAGTCTGCCACATATTGTCACCGACATCGCAATCTTTGTTCTGCCCGTATCGAGTTTGTACCATCTGGTGATTGGAAAGCGAAGGAAAGTGGGTATAATTTCTAACCTTTATGATGGGAAGCTTGTAAGTTCTCGGTTCATAAAGCTTCTCCAATCTCGCGCTGTTTGCAATCTTGTCACAACACTGACCGGGGTTCTTTTCGGTTTCAGGGGTATCGTAACCGCCATCATTCGTTTCGTGAGCTTCTACAAGATTGACCTGGAATCTGATCCGACCTGGTACGCACCGAATCTGTTCTCGTATACGATCGTCGAACCAAGCGCATATCTCATGTGCTCCTGTTGCCCGTCTCTTCGACCCCTCTTGAGAATCGTCTATAGGTGGCTCCGCACCAAGGTAGATAGCCAGTACGGATCTGGTACAAACAGAACCGGTCAATTACAGATCTCCCTTAAAAATTTCAAGGGAAGTCACAGGACCTCGATCTCGGCAACCAAGGGGTTGACGAGGAATGATGATGGTGTTGGAGGGAGCTTGGCAAGCAGTCCAGGGTGATCTATAGTATTATCACTGGAGTGTGGGAGAGAGCTCCCACGCTCCATATATATAGAGATATTGCGAGGTCTAAGCGCAGAACTAGCCATATACGTACAGGAAGCTCCCCGAGCATACAAGGGAGCTCCGCAGAGGAGCTGCCCAATGGCGTTTCACGTCACAGATGGCAAACTCAATTTTATTCGTCTTGACGAGTCCGTTGATGTAGATATGTCACCAGATTGTGGCGGAGGAAGGGTCTAATTGGAACGAAGTGATTGTATTTTCTTGTGTAATTGTGGTAGTATGATGCATGGGAATGCGGACATGATTATGAAGCAAAAAGCCTGTCGGATGAGGCTACATGTTGCTATGTTCAAAACCGATGAGGAAATCTCCTTGCTATTTCCAATCGCTCGAGTAGTTCCAGGTATGACCGCAGAATAGAAGTCATTGTATGGTCAACACCAGCGAGCACAAATGGATTTGCTTGTCTAGTGAAGACATACGTCAAGACTATGAGAAACTAAATACCGCACTTATTCCTTCAGGCTAGAACCTCAGAACCTTTCGCAGTTACATCAAGGATTCGGAAGTTCAACTTCCTATGGTTCTCTTCACGATATCCCAGTACCGAGGCTCGTCCTTCCGAAGATGTGCGACATGTGCCGAGCCCTCATATTTTTCCAAAGTAACGGAGAAACCTTTAGTCTTTGCCTCAGCCGCATGTGTTTCAACATCTTTATGGTCCGTCAACGCATCAGCAGCGCTGTAGATGTACACTCGTCGTACCTCAGCGGTGTTCCCCAAGTGTTCGTTATGCGACTTGTACCAGCTAGCCAAGGAGTTGGGTAACAAGCCTAGGGTCATCGAGGCAGTCCAGAACGCAGCGAAAGCGTAGAGGAAAGGCGCAATGATAAGCTGCTGGAAAAACGGTAGACCAACACTAACGAAGGCCACAGCGCGAGGGATACGGAAGAGCCCTGGGCACGAATCGAAGATTGTGACGTGGGGGGGAAGGCCCTTGTCGTCGTCGGGGCCTGCTGTGGCAGCGAATTGCTCGTACAAATTTGCGATACTAGAGGAGCCGCCGTTGGAGAATGCATGGACGAGGAGAGGAGGCGGTGAAGATGACAACACCGGCTTCTGGAACGCAGTTCGAACCGCAGAAGCCGCAACTCTCATGGCAGGACCGATCTGGGCGGGACGAACGATGCAGTCCATGGTGCTCTTCAGGAGCAGTAATTGAGCAGCAAGATAGAGGGCCTGATATTTGGCTATGTACTTAGCGATGTGAACATCCCTGGCGTCGGTCCAGCTGGAGATGATTATGAGTCGCGGTTGGAAGGCTGCATCTATGCTTGACGTTTCCGATGGCCGGTAGAAGAAGACAAGCGGGCCAACTTTCTCCATGAAGGAAAGAGGCTTTGTCGCAGTTGCTGGAGCTGGGGCTGGTGCGTTGGATGGCATGGTGCTGCAGAGTGCTGTAGAGAGTGAAGACGGTTGAAAATGAATTCTGAAGCTTGGCTTGACGTGTTGATGGCGAACACCAAAGCTGGAAAAGCAGAAGCTACGTGGGGAAAAACAGATAGGGCCACTGCGGACTGAAGGTGCTGCGCAATCTAACGAAATGTTGCGTGGAGGGGCGGCTAGCGTCTACCTGTTTGTTGATGTGGCACGGTGAATGGGGCATGGGGAACGAGTGCACACTAGCGCCTTGGCGCTGCGACTTTCACAGCCCTGGTCTCACCTCACGAACTCTCACCTGCATGTGTGCGCCCATCCCTGCTCTGCAGTAGAGCTCGTCACTTTGGTTGTCAACTTTCGAACTGACCGTGACAGAACGGCGCTCGCGACCTGCAGGACCAATCGCTTCGCGCCACCCAAGCCTTGGTTCAAATCACCTCCTCATTTTCCACATGCGCTGACAGGGCTGCCCAGGTGCTGCCTAGGTCACGTGCGCGCAGGCAAGCTAAAGAGGACCCAAGCCTCCACGATGTAGCGCGCACCCCTACTAAATTAATTAAATACTATTACTGCAGCCTTGCAAGATATGCAGTGCGACACGTCTACTCGATTTTCAACCCTTTGCCCCTCCGTCATCGTTGCCTGCTTTTCTTAATCTACGGAATCCCAGATCCCCGTGTTAGGATCCCAAGAATGGGCGAGGACGAAGGTCGCTTATGACGGCATACGACCTCGAGCCCCACCAAGATTAGGTAATGTCTCACGGTTGTCCCAAGCGCCAAGCCATGGGACACTGGGATCACATGACAAGGAACGTCACGTGACTATACTATGGGATCCCACATGTACTAAGCATGGGATTTCATGGGAACATGGGATATTATAGGATTGCTTAAGTATATAGGAACTTGAGTATGAACTTTTATACTCATGTTTAACCTATTTATTAATCTATCATTTGGATTACACTTAGGCTATATTGTTGACTCATTATATCCTCCTCTAATACTATTGTCTCGATAAACCCCTTCCTTCCCTTAGTTGTCTTGCCTAAGAACCAACCCTAACCCTTTAGGACTAGCTACCCTTCTAGATTTAACATCTTAAACACCCTTAATATGATAATAGGGACTCCTACCTCTTCTATGGACATGGGCAACGCTATAGTAACCCTAATAGAATATAAGGGTACTAAGGCGTATAAACCTAACCTATACTATGGCGTTAGAAACTATACTAATATCTAGCTTCTTTAATTAGACCTCTACTTCTATGAAGAAAACAAAGATAAGGATAATAAAGATAAAGTTCTCTTTATAGCATCCTATATGAGAGGAGATATAGGAGAATGGA